GTACAACGTATGTACAGAAAAATTGAACAAAAGAATTTCAATCTGAAATTTTGCTCATATATAGGTCTTGTAGTGATTAGAACATTCGAAATGTTTCAATGGATGAAGAAAAAAAAAGATTTTCTTGTCATGATGTTGATTCGTTAAGAAAAAAAGTCAATCTTTCTGAACTTTATAGGTTATAAGACAAGTTTTTCACAGTCGGTATCTCACTTTTTTTTTTATTAAAAAATTTAAAATAAATTACATATGAGCGAAATTTCCGATTGAAATTCTGTCGTTTGACTTTCTGTATATATCTTGTACTATTGTCCGTTTCAAAATAAAAGGTACCTGGTCATTTTTTGAATAAACTTCCACTGGATACAAGATATCGACCTACGGTTTTTACCATTCGAAAGAGCAATGTTGGGGCCGTCGGTTCGTATTATATTCATTAGAACGAAAGATGCTTTTTCATAGTACCTTTTCGATTGACATTTTTTTCTTTATGAATTTTCATGTATTTTTACAATAATCTCTGCTCAAATTACACCAAAATGTAGCTCAAATCAGCCTCTTTTACTATAAAATTACCACATTATTCATTATCTCTTCTACTACTTTTCTCAAGTAGACTTTCAAAAATTGCTCATAATTTTATAGCGAGAAAAGCTGATTTCAGCTACATTTTGGTGTAATTTGAGCAGAGATTATTGTAAAAATACATGAAAATCTACAAGGAAAAAAATGTTGATTGAAAAGCTACTATGAAAAAGCATCTTTCATCCTAATGAATATTACACGGGCCGATGGCCCTAACATTGCTCTTTCGAATGGTAAAAATCGCAGGTTGATATCTTGTATCCAACGGAAGTTATTCAAAAAATGACCAGGTGCCTTTTATTTTGAAACGGACAATAGATCAAAAATCAGTAAAATGGTTATAACTTTCGAAGCAAGCCTCATCAGCCCAAACCGTCTTACAATAATGTTCCCGACATATGGACAAAATATCATTAAAAACGGAGAATTAAGCACAATCTGATAAAACTATCGATTGAGATTGAATAAGTTCATCACTTTATTAACAACGACAATGTTTAGTGCAAACTGGCGTTTTTGAAACTATGTTTTATATAGAATGCATACATGTAGTAGAATGCACATATTCAATTTCTGACGTATCGGTTCGACTATGAAATGGAAAAGTTATAAAACAGCATACAATTTTTCTTGCTTGATTAATTAAATTTCTTTTTTTCTTTTAGACACCTCTTTTTGGTGCAGCTAAAAAGGGTCATGTAGAAATTTGTGAATATCTTATTAAAAATGGTGCTGATATTAATGCTATAACAATGGTATAATTTATTTAATTAATGGAATGAATTGATTCTCTTTTTTTTCTTTTTTTTTAAATTTAGACTGGCGCAACACCATTATATACAGCAACTGAAGAAGGTCATTTAGATGCCGTTATTTTATTGATACGTCATGGTGCTGATGTAAATCAATCACCAAAAGGACAAATTGCACGTGATCTTCATATTGAAAATCAAACACCTTTATTAATAGCATGTATGAGAAATCATGAAGGAATTATTCGATATTTAATTGAATCTGGTGCAAATGTTAATGTAACATCTGAACGTGGTTCATCACCATTCCTTGCTATATGTCAACATAATAATGTTGAATTAGCACGATTACTTATTCGACATGGTGCACGACATGATGTTGAAGCAAAAAATTTATATGATGGAAAAATTAATGGTTTAATTGTTGCTGCTGAATCAGGTTCATTTGATATTTTACGTTTATTAGTTGATGCTGGTTTAGATGTTAATTATAAGATAGCAGGAAAAGTAAAATAATAAATGAAAAAATTTTCTTTATAAATATTATTATTATTATTTTTTCTTAATTAGGGTGAAACAGCTGGTCGTACACCTTTATTTTGTGCATGTGCAAAAGGCTTTCAAAATATTGTGGAATATTTGGTTGATCGAGGAGCTGATGTCAATGGAACAGAAAATGTACGTATATGATCAATTAATAATTAAGCAAAAAAAGAAATTATTCAATAAACATTTGAGTTTTAATTTCTTTTTTTTGCTGATGAATGTTGAAGATAATAAAAAGAAATCATTTTTTAAATGCAAATGATCGTATACAAAAAGTATATTTTTGCCAATGGATGAAATTTTGGAACTTCATATTTCGAGTCTTGCACCCGATGGAATCAAAAAATTCTCATTCTTTTATATATAAATCTCTAAACATGGTAATCAGTAACACCCGATGGCATTGATTCTGTTAACCTTTTGTCTCTTATTGATAGAGATGTTCTGACATAGAATACAGAATGAGACAATTGTTAACGTCAATCTTTTTAATAGATGCATGGAGTAAACTGAAAACTGTTCTCCAATGTCATCTCTAGATGTGTCTACTAGAAAGACAAAAAGATCAATAATTATTCTAATGATGTTTAATTGAATGTTATTGAATAATTAATGAACGAATAGAATAATGTTCTAATGAGTTTTTAGTGTATATTATTTGAAATGATATCTATTGAAATTTTACAAATATTTTTGATACGAAGGATCTACTAAGGTTAGATAAGTTATGAGTTATATTAAAATTATTAGATCTTCTATATATAATATTAAAATTTATTTAGAGTGGTCTCTCATGTTTACACATAGCAGCAGCTATGGGTCATGCTGATACAGTTCGAATTTTATGTGAACGTGGTGCAAATGTCGATCAACAATTTTGTTTTGAAGAACAAGATGTAACTGCATATGATTTAGCTGAATCTCAGCAACATGATCATGTATGTCAAGTATTGAAAAATTTTGGTGCACGACAATTACTTCACAATACATACTCAAGTCATTTAGATGGTATTAAATAATCGTATTCAATCAGTGTATATCTCAAAACAACGTTCCGTTGTTCGTATTATATATTTTGTGTCTTTTTTCTTTTCGGTATTCGATCGACGATCGCTCGTATTTTTTTTTTCTATCTCTCTCTTCGTTTTGTGCACCCATTTGTTCAACATACGTTTGTGTATGTAATTTTTTTCTTTGCTGTATTATTCTCTAATGTTTGCCTTTGCACGAACTCGGTTTTTCTTTTCTTAATTTTTGTGTTCTTCTCTGCTCATGATTGTTTTTTCTTTATTAAAGAATTTCTATGTATACGTGTGTGATCGAGAGAAAGAGCTATTCTACGAAAAAATGTGAACTGAATAGTGTTTGTGTGTGTGTGTGTGTGAGAGGGAGAGAAAACAAAGAATAGCATGATTTCTAATTCAATGTGACTTTCTTTTTTTTATTTATTTATGCAAAAATAAGAAAAAAAAATATGTTTGTGAAAATAGAAATGTAAAACTGGATAATTAAGAGAATAAATATTGATGATAAACATTAAAGGTATTGTTTATATTTATTGAAGAAAAATATCTTTTAGTAGAAGATTGCAATTGTTTCATTTGCTCTCTTGATGATAGAACATTTTTAAAAGAAAAAGCTTTGACAGTGATCTATTTTAAAATAATTTATCGATTAAAAGAGCATAAAAAAATCTAAATTTCTGTACATCGTTATATAATGAATCTTATAGATTAAGCACTACCACTGGAAGCATCTAGATTAAATATCGATAATATATGTAGCTAAAATTCATTTTTACACATCCTATTAAAAGAATACAATTTCTAGTTTGTCAATGGGTTCGATCAAGAGACTCATTCTATTATAAACAGCATATGGAAATAATATATCTATATTTTTGGGGTTGAGTTAGGTCAAAAAGACATTAATGTCTACTAGAAAAGTATATATAATGGAAATAAATCTTCTCAACCAACCGAATTAAATATAATCTAAGAATATACATATTATTTCTATATTCGTTGTATATTAAAATCAATCTTCTGTATCTCAAAGCGTGGAACTAAATTTTCTGGCAATGGAAACTTATCATCTCCTGAATCGTTTCTCATTAAAATACCATCAAAATTTCCTTAATAAACCGAAGACATATGTCAACAGCTCGTAGAAATAGATACACGCCTAAAACTTAGTACGATATGCGTCTACATTGAAGGAAATATTATTTCAAATGCATATTCATACAAAAAATTATAACTATTAAATAATAAAAGATTGATTGCATTACAAACAATTGAATCCAATTGAAATGAATGATGGCTCTTCTATGACACTAAATATTACTATAGAAAAATATTTATCTTCGATTTATTGAAAAAAAAAGAAGAAAGTATTGTACTTGAACAAATATCATATATGTATGATATCTATTTTTATTCATGATTTATTATTCACTCAAAAATTATATTTTATACACCAACATCATATAAGTACTTAAGCTATTGTCAGTATTTCACTGCATAGCAGGAAAAGCCATAATAAATGACAAGAAATAATAAATAGAATTTACCATGAAAAAAAATAACACACTCAATAATCATACATGCATATATAATTTAAAGGTTGCGAGCTTATACAAATTCCATTATACAAGTACATAATCTTTTCTTCTCATATTACAATAGTAGTATCTTATTTATACGTCAATATTTAGAAAAAAAAAACAATAGTTTACTATATGATTAAGTTATCTTTTTCTTCTTGTCTTTCAGCTTAGAGTCTAAATATATGTAGATGAAGAGAAAAAAAAACTATCTCTTGTTCTTCTCAATAAATACATACAAACATCGTCACTTACATCTAAGAACAGAAAATAGACATTTTGCGTTTTTTTTTTCATCTATATAGTTATCTTCTATATTTTTTTCCTGGTATTACTGATAGTAGTATGGTGGCGTCCGGCAAAACGAGAGAGATAGAGATAGAGAGTAACAAAAACAAAAAAGGGAAATATCATTGTCGCATTTAGTTTATTTGCAGGAAGATACATACACACATATATATATATATATATATACATATATACGACGTTTGATCTAAATTCAAGAAGATTCAATGAGTAAAGTTTTTATTAGTCGACCAGATGATAATGTTGCCTGGGGTTTTCGACTTCAAGGTGGACTTGAATATAATGAACCATTGACAATAACTCAGGTAAATGCACTTCTATTTCAAAAATTATGAGTTATTTCGTCGTATATATGTATTCATTAATAAATAAAGGCAGAAGGGCAAATATTCTATATATATATGTAGATTAATGAGGCAAGTGTGTTCGAGTCATTTTTTCAAACAAAAACAAAAATAGAACAAGTGAATTCATATTTTTATTTTTATCATATGAAATATGTGTTTATATAAACTACATAGTTGACGTTGTTATTGTTATTTTGCTTGTTTTTGTCGGGCAATATATGTTATATTCAAATGATTAAAAATAAACATATATTATATTGATATTTATTGATAGATTGTGCCTAATTCTCCTGCTGATGGTAAGATTGATGCGGGTGATATGTTAATTGAAATTGCTGGAACTAATGTGACACAAACAACACATAAAGATGCACTTGAACTTATTCAAAGTTGTGGAAATAATATTTTACTTACCTTACAAAAGTAAATATTCATATAATATCTTCTATAATGAATTTAAAAAACTTATTTCAGAGCTGATGATTCATATCCACCTGATACACAGAAATTAACTGAGGAACAACAAGAATCATCATATAGTTATGATTCGTCATCAGAACCTCAGCATAATATAACTTCAAAGCCTATGGTAAATATTCCACAAGCGCCAATATTTAACGCGAATTTAGTGAAGAAAAGACCAGCCAATTTAATGAAGTATCAATCATTGAGTGACAATTATCCCATATATGAAGAAACAGCAGTAAATTATAAATGAAATAATTATTGTTATTATTAATTAATTAATTTTTTTTTTAAGGAAAGTCCAACTCTTTCTCCTATTCTTGCTAAATATCTTAGTCGTCCTGGTGTAAAACCATTTACATACATACCACCAGGTCTTGATTTATCTAAATTACGTGAACTTCGTGCTAAACGGTAAGATTATATTCAATAATAATTAGTACTTGTTTTGTCTTTAATCTATTCAAAGGAGAAGAATAGATTGGTCATATTTTATTTTTGATTAATTTTAAAAGTGCGACTTCTTTTATAATCAATGACAAGAAAAGAAACGAAAGAGTAGAAAGGGAGAAAATAAATCAATTTAATGAGATTTTTTTAGACCTATGCACTCTACTGTCAGACACATCATAAACTTAATTACACACAATTTTCCATTTTTTTTTCTCTTTTTTTTGTCTCCTTAACTTCCTTTCATTTTTCATATATTCGTGTGTTTTTTCGCATATATGCCACGATTTGTATCGACATCCATTTCTCTCTCTTTTTTTTTTATTACATTGTTGAAAGTAGGTGTGTTTTATCTTGTATAAAAGAGAAAAAAAAGCAACAAAAAAAAAGAGAAGAGAAAAGTAATGTTTATGTGAATCAATACTTAAAAAAAATAATCACTCGACAAAACATACATATACAAATGAAAAACAACAATTAAACATCATTTTTATTGCTTCAATCTCAATTTTTTCTTTTTGTATTATAACAATCAAAATGGTGAGTTTGACTGCTGCATTTAATAAAGATTTGGTTTGTTTTGAATTAAATATGTTTTCGGTATGTTAAGAATGCCATAGGAAATAAAAGAAACAAATAATAGAAGAGAAAAAAAATTATTTCAATATTTTAGAACTACTATGAATTATCTTATTTATTCGATTTTTCAGTTTTCAAGACAATAGATCAACAAGTGAAGACAATCAAGCAATCATGAATCGACGATTGACTGTACCATCTGATCAACTAAATCAACATCATTATACAAATACAAATCCAATTCAACCATTTAGTTATTCTCATCAACCACCAACACCACCAAAAAAATATATACAACATGATACTGATGTGTATGTTGATTGTAAAAAGAAAAATATAATTCGAATTACAAAAAAAACAATTCTTTGCTTTTCTTTTTTTTTTTTTTTTTCTAATAGAATAACACAATGTCGTTCATTTCAAATGCTTCAAGAATGGATATCGGATAGTGAAAAAACTATACCTACTGTTATACCATCATTACAATCTACAACAAATAGCTCAACAGGTGAATAGGTGACCTTTGTAAGATGTTTCTTTTTTTTTCTTTTATTATCTTTGATAATTATTCTATTGGATCATGTCCAATTCTTATCGAATAGTAAAAATTTAGAAGGTCAATCGAATGAAAATATCAAATGACTATAAAACAAAAAAAAAAATCTATATACATATAGTTATATCATAATATTTATAAATATACAATGAATTAAGAGTTTTTCTCTCTGTAATTAGAAATTTTTCTTAATCCTATTTGATAATGAGAAAAAAAATTTAACTATAATCAAAATATTCAATGAAAAGATTTCTCTATACTCTACAAATAGAATAATATAATAATAAAATTTTATTTGAATAACATGTTTGAAGGACAGGGTTTTTTTTTCTTAGTATGATTATCAAAATTTCAAATTTTGTTTTATTTATAATTCATTGTCTAATAGATTCTATTAGAATCAAAATAATATATTCTCTATGTTTAAATTTGTCAGAATCATTTCGTCAGATAGTCCTTCATTTTAAGAGGCCATTGAAGGTTTTACATGTATATTTGAGTGCTATTCGAAGGACACTGTATTAAATCAACATTCATATTTTTTTCATAGTTGCTCAAACTACTCATGATCAACAAAATAAAACAACTCCTCGTCAATCAAGTTTAACTGGTATATCATCACTTCCATCACGATCATTTCGTTATCTTCAAGAACAATATAGTGTTGATAGTGATGATACTACAATAGTACCCAAAAAATCTTTCGAAGAAACAACATCAAAAAGTGGTACTGGTCTTCGACGAAGTAGTGATGCTCATAATCCATCTCGAGCATTTAAATATTTACAAGACCAATATGATATATCTCAAGAATTAGCATCAAATCAATCTCGAACAATTAATAATCGAGATGATCTTGTAGAAATTTATAATAAACGTATATATTTAATAAATATAATTTTATAAAATTTTTCTGATCTATATCTTTATTTTTTTCATTTTAGCACCACCAAGTTCTCGTGAACGTGAACCCGACACACCACATTATAAAGGTTCAACAGTTCCATCACGTGCATTTCGTTTTCTTCAAATGATGACACACGAAGATGATGAACAAAATGATTTAAAATCTAATATCAATTATACAAAACCTCAAGAACCATTGTTCAATAAATATGATGAACAACATGTTTCAACACATGCAAATAGATTAAGTGAACATCCATCACGTTCATTTAAATATTTACAAGAACTGACTGGTGAACAACAATCAACTTCAAATCAAACAGGTATTTTCAACAACAACAAAAAAAAAAAAATTTTATTTTAAGATTAACAAATTTTTTTTGTTTGTTACAGCAACACAAAGTAGAACATTAACGAATAATATAAATTCAACAGATATTGGAGCAAGCAGTTTTTAGCAAAGGAGAAATCGAAAAAGATCTTGTTTTTTTTCTTTTTAATTTATATTCGCTTTTATTTTGTTTCGTTTTTTTTTCCTTCATTTCATTTTATAGATTTTCATATTGCTAAAAGAAACACATTTATTATTATGATGATGTGAAATATTTTTCTTTTTTTTTTTATAATCAGGACTTAATCAAAGAAAACAAAAACAAATTTTTAATAGAATCTCGAGATAGATCGCACTATAAATTAAATTGTAATCAATCTGCATATTGTATAATGCTTTTAAAATATTAATTTAATAAATATTTTTATTTTATAATCGGTATAATCGAAAATATTTTTTTGTTTCGTACGTTGTTAATTAATTCAATGAATTAGAGTTTTAGATAAGGAATATGTTTTTTGTTTAGTTTAAAGATTAGAATACACCATAGAGATAAAGATTTTTTATGTCGGTATGTTGATTTTGATTTTCAATAAAACCTTCGCACTTCTAGTAGTTGATTTTTTAGATTTTCTATAATGTTTAAAATTAAATGATATGCATATATACGGTATGTGAAAAACAATCTTTGTTTTGATCAAGTTTGGTTATTTTTCATTTACATTCTTCTCGTTTGACAACTAGTCAACTATATGATTGTTTTCATAACTGAATAAATATAAAATATCTCTTATGGATAATGATCTAATCATAAATTCTCATCTACAGGATTGCCAAAAACATTTTGACTATGAAGTACAATTCCAATGACAAATGATATCAATATGAAATTTTATATCAAAATAAAAGTTCGTCGAAAATGAAGTTTAGCAGTATGAATGAAAATTGATAGAATGATAATGAACCAGAGAATTGTCAAAATTTTCAAAATTTCCGATGTATACTCGAAGATGCACATGCAGTTAACTACTATAAACAAAAAAGTCTCCGAAAATTTTTTATCTATCAAACTTTATAGAGTTCGCTTCACTGATCATTTTCATAGAAAACATTTTTTAAATTCGACAAATAAATGACAATGCTATCGTCAAAATACTGAAAAAACCATAGCTCTAGGAGCCAAAGCTGTCTTAGGTTTTCAGTATTTTGACCATAGTATCGTCATTTATTTGTCGAATTTTTTGTTTATAGTGGTTCACTGCATGTGGAGGGTGTTCACTAATGAAAATTCAATAAAACAGGTAAACCTGAAGGTCATACCGAAAAACCAAAAAACCTAATTTTTTTTTGCTATTTGATCGTATGAAATAATAGTATTTCATAAGTGAATTCTTTTGTCTTGTAGAAAATGTTTCTATTATGAAGTATCAATTAATCGTATTTTGCATGATTTAGTATATTTTATTATTTTGTGAAATATTCTTTAGTAATAGAATATAGACTTTTTTTTTTTGTTAATTGTACTAGTGTAGAAAAATCAAATAAATGTTTCGTAATAACATAACCAGTATAAAAAGACTTTTGTAAAAATTATATTGTTAAACGTAGGAAAAAAATATTACTTCTTTAGAGACAGAATAGAAGACTCGAGGTAATGTGTTAGTGACTTTAATTATTTCACCGTGTATTATCTGCATCAATGCTTGATTAATTATTATCAAGTCATTTAATAGATAGTAACATTAAGAGTAAATTTACCCCGAACGTGGAATTCCGATTGTTTCATTGTTTAACTCGTTTGATAATGAAGACTTGTAGGATACAGTCCAAGGTTGTCAACGACGTCAATTTAGTCTTCTAGGACTTACATTAATTGACAGAAGAATGTGTTTAGATCAAAAACAAAAATTTTGCATTCGTACTATTATGAAAATTGATTGTTAATTGTAAATGTTCTTGTCTGTTATTATAAGTATCACTTATCCTTTGCATTTTCTTTTATCTCTTATTCGTATCTTTATAGAAATCGATTAAATGAACAACTGAAATTAAAATTATACATTAATGTAAAGTAACACAATTAAATACATTTAAAAAATTAGAAACATCAATTGATCTTGGTCTAGTCTGCAGGTATTTCAGACCAGGAAAAATTGATCTATTGACAGATCAATATTATAAACTGTACAAGTAAACATTTGTTTTCAAGATATAATCGGATTATAGTTTAATATTAACATTAATGAACCAAGACGAAAGCATTTTTTCATTTCAGATGTTTATCTACAGAGTATTCCAAAAAAAAAAAAAAATTAACTGCTCAGTATTATATACAAATAATCAGTAAATAAATCAAGCTGTCAGATTAAAATTTAATGCTTGGTAAACTATTATATTTGCCTAGTAAATAAAAAATTTTGTGAGTGTGAAATGTGGATGCTGCTGTCTGATATCAAAGCCCACACCTATACTCTTAAATACTGAGTCGTTTAAAATTATTTATTAAGCAAAAACTACTAAATTTGTAATAAAAAAAAAACCATAGAAAACAAAAAAAATCGAGTTCTCCTAGTTATTGATATTTTTTCTAAAATTGATATCAAAATTTAAAAACTTCAATTCGATTCTTCATTGGAAGATCTTAAGTCATAATTCAGCTTATTGTTGTTCGTAAAATAAAACAAGCTATTAGCAACCATTCGAATACGCAGTAGTCTCATATTTTTACAAGCATCATGAACTTTGTCGATTTTCAAAATCTTTCGTATTGTTGTTCATTTACCGCTAAATTGATTTTACAAAAGTCATGAAAAGCATATCCAGTACAGTCTATGTCTGACGCATATATGTCAAAACAAGTACAGACATTTGTCTGAAAATATACAGAACTAATTTTCTAAGAACATATAAATCACTTGAATTATTTAGGAACTATTATTCATGTGAACTTTTAAGACACCTTCTATAATTCAACAACTTTTAGTTAACCATCATCTTTCAGTCACATAGAACGTCTCTTTTTTTACGAATAAGGTTATATTCTGTCTTCATTGTAATATTGAAGAAAATTCAATAATTATTTAAAATTTAACAATAAAAGATATTCAAACTCTATATTTTGAAATTTGCCAGTCCACAAATATACCATATGTAGGCTTTTTTCATCACAAAAAAAGAGAAGTATATTAAACTAGATTGATTCCAGATAACATCATTGATTGATTTCTACACGCCAAACGTCAATTGTTATTCTTCTTGCATAAGAAAATAGATTGATTTGTTAATGATTTGATCATAAAAATTATAATATATCTTTCTTATTTGATCTTAATCATAATTATGATAAAAAAGAAATAACTAGAACAGAATTTTTAATATAATTCTGTCATCTCATTAATAGAAAATATCAAACTTAATATTTATTCTAATCAATTAATAAAAATCTATTTAAATTATAAATATAAATTTGTTTATTTGTTTGCTTTTTTTTTGTCAAACTTTTCTTGTTGAAACATTCGATGATCGACATGATAAAGAAAAAAAATCAAGCTTTCATCTAGATGATAATTTAGTTAGAGGACAACATGCTTTATTTATTCTCGAGCAATGTAAATCTTCACTTCCATTGACAAAAAAAAACATCGCAATTGTTTTTCTGTTATTCTATATGAAAAATATGGAGAATAGAAGAAAAAAAAAAATAATAAGCATAAAATTATATGAACAATAATACTAATAAATATTGTATGACCCACTATAGTGCAAACTCTAGAGTATGTAAAACAAAAAAAACAAAAGTTATTTTTTTCATGGGATTTTTACTATGTTCTCAAGAGATTTGATATTGAATGAAAGCTTATTAAAAATAGAATTTTAGAAGTTAAATTAATAACTTGTAGGAGGATGACAGACGACAGAATAATGAAATTTTCCTAAAAATTTGATAAATATGCTTAAATATTTCTATAGATAGTCGATTGCAAATACATAAAATTGTGTTCGTTCTATCAGATTATATATTTTACTGATCATTTCGATAAAGAATTTAATACATAAATACCAGCACTAAAGTCAAAATATTATAGTTCTAATATTATCTATTGGAGTACTAAATGCTATTCTTAAAATCTTAAAAAATGTCATAATTATCCTCCTATGGATAATCCATTGATTCCATAACTCATATTTTTAATAAGGTTTCATTTGATATAAAGTTTATTATTTATACCACTTTGAGATTACAGTTTTATTAAACAACAAAAAACATTTCGTTTTTTTTTTGCATCCTGTATACATATCATTAAGAATATATTGTTAATGACTCTAAATAATTTACATTGCATGCAAGAAAACCATTGTAAAAGTTCACTTAATAATCTTACACTTGTCAAATGTTATTTTTAAGTTTATGAAAAATATGCTTTAATTATTATCTTAAATGTAGTAAATAAAAAGAATGTCCATATGGTATGTATATGGATAGAAAAGGCAAACATTTATATAAATATGATGTTTTATTATTTAATTACAAATTTGTTTCTAATTAATATTTCATACATAAAAATACAGATGTTATTCTATCATAGTATTTCATGTGAAGATAAATCTCACTAGACATGAACGTTGAGACGTGACAAAAGTTTCTTTCAAGTTGTTTTAACATATAAGAACTGAATTCTTTTCTGTGTTAGTTATATTAAACAACATATTGATTTAATTAATTCTTCATCAATAAATTAAAATCTTAAAATCTATTCAAATTTTTTAATATTCTCATTATTTAATGTAAAAAAAATCATGCATTTCCTTATATTTATAATACGTAGGAAACCGTCCATTAGCGACCTCATAATTCAATTAAGTATTTCGGAGTTTTCTTTTACAGACTTCATCTTATATGTTATTTCCATTTGTAAGATAAGGAAAACAAAAACATGTTTTCTGTAGAGTTTTATTAATTTTATTATTGAATCATCTAAAAATACATCATTGGTTCATTATCGCCATAAATCTTGTTCATTCGCATTCTTGAAGACTCACTTATTCCATTCATACCCACCTAAATAATGTTACACATGTTCGATTTCCCAATTGTTCTTAATATATATATATATATAGATATATTTGTCTTTTGTAATAGTTGATTACGAAAATAGAATTTTCTGTTCTGTTGTGTCTCTTTTTTTTATTTTGAAAAAAAATCTATCAATATTTAGTAATGATGATGATGAGCTCGATTCATTCAACAAAGAACGTATCGAAGCGGAAATGATTCGTGTGGTGGTACTCGTCACAGCACACACCAATTTCCTTAATCAGAATTCTCTTTTTCTTTTTATTTTCACTTCTCCAATTTTTTTTTATTGTTGTTGTTGTTGTTGTTGTTATTTTTTGTCATCTTTCTCTCGTTTTCTTTCTTTTTTTTTTTTCTTCTCTCGTAGTCTCAATGTGTTCAATATCAATAATAATCATCGTTTAGTCGTTCGTCTTCTCTTCTCGTCTTTTTCTCAAGTATGAGAACAACAATGATGCGATAAGCGATTTTCATCTTTGTGTTGGCGGGTGTTGTATGTGATGCTGTTAACAAAAGAACTCGAGATATTGCGGACTACATCAAGTAAATGTGTGTTAGAAAAAAAAAAACACGGACAAGAAAAAAAAAAGAGAGAAGGAAAAAAGATCGAGTTCCGAACATGTCGTCGCAAGGGTAAAAAGCAACAGCAATGAATGTGGTAGTATAGAAATAGTAGTTGTTGTTATAGTAGAACAACGGCAGAAATGTGTTGTCGATTTGAAGAGCGAGATAGCGTGCTCTTGTGTGCGCAAAAAAAGAAAAAAAAGAGTGAATGAGAAAGAAAATGTCGCGAGAAGAACGGTAACGGGAAAAACAACATCAACAACAACAACCATCACCATCATCATCATCAGCAGCAGCAAAAGCGTCGTAGAAAATCGAGAGAAGAAGCAAAGAAATCTACAGGAAGAAGTTGTAGCTAAGTCGCGATTTGTTTGAGAATCAATAAAAAATGATACTGATTGACTGTACAAGATATTTACACAACCGCGTGAATATGATTGAGACTTACTGTTGCGTTTTCTCGTTATAGAACAAAAAAAAACAAAATAATGTTTTTTTTTAGTCTTACACGTTTATTTATTCAGTAAATAATTATATATACCTTTCTTTTTCCAGTTCATTTATTAATATTATTATTATTTTTGCTTTTTTTTAACCTCTTTCAATCTATTACATTAGTCAACTTGATAGTATTCTTTTCTATGAGATGTCAACAAACAAACGTTAGTCATTATTAAATATGTATGTATGTGTATGTTTATCTATAAATAATATTCTTTTTTTTTTCTTGTGTTTTGACAAGCAGTTTATTTAAACGGATAAAATAACTTGTTATACCTTTGCTTTTTTTTCTTCGCTATGCTCTCTTTCTGTTTTTTTTCGTTTTATCCCATTTGAAAGTAATATAGATGATGATGATGATGATGATGATGATGATGATGACAAAGTGAGCCGTCATGGAGAAAGAAAGACAAGAGTTGTTGTATTGAAAAAAAATGAAAGAAAGAGAATAATAATTTTCCATTTCCCTTGTCGGCTTCTGAATATAACAGAAGCAAGTCTGGCTGGCTAGTCGAAAATACTAGCATGCCATTATGAGTTATTATATGTGAAACGTCAGTACAATGTTTTCTTTTTTTTTTAATAATTTTCTTTTTTATTGTTATAGTAAAAATAAGTTAATTGTCTATTTTGATTCAATATCTGTACTTCTCTTAATCATTCGTTTTCCTTTTTTTTGTCCTCTTCTTTTAGTATTCATTATTTTGTTTTTATTCAGTCATTGTTTTCTATTATTATTTTTTTGCCACTCTTGTCTTCGTTCAAAATAGATAATGCAAAAGGAAAATCAGTGTGGCCGATCGTTGAACAAGATTATCTGATTAGGTGATTATTCCGATCTTTCTTTCTCTCTCTCTCTCTCTCTCTCTCTCTCTCTCTCTCTCTCTCTTTTTTTCTCTTTTTTCTCTTTTTTTCTCTATTAGTATGTCTATAGTTCGTATTCATACATCATCATCATTGCCGAGCGACCCGATTTTCTCACTATTGCTCTTGTTGTCAGAGCACTACCCTTCATGGTCTTTTTCTTCCTTCGCTTCACTAACCGCACAGAGCAAAAAAGAGACCCTGTTATTGAATAATCGAGCAAGAAATAAGAAGAGAAGAAATGGAAACTGACGATAGAAAAATATGAAGAGGAATGTCGAGAGGACAAGATCAGTAAGTTCTATTCCATTTTTACATATATATTTATATATAGATATGCGTAGGCAGTACATGTGAAAGTTTTATTCTAAAATGACAAAATAAAACAGATGAAAATAATGATCTGATCTTTTTCGATATTATATTGTATGACGTAACAAACGAATTTGATCACATAAAACAAGAGAAAGAAAAAATATTTGATCAATATACTATTTGTCATATGTCAAATTTCGACATATGAGTGAAATATTACGACGAATATTTTAATTACGGTTCTTTTTTTTTTGTTTTCTTTTGAGTAATTGTATATGTTCACCTTCGTGACAAATTATATACCTAAATAATGACACTACTATTTAGTATCAAAAGTGTTGATCAATAGTGAGAAAAATTTAATATGTAAAGGTCGGAATATTTTATTGCATTTGTTAGATTTGTTTCCTTGTGTATCATTCCACGTGGGAATGATACAGATAGCATAGAATGTTACCTGTGTGTTTTTTCTTTGTTCTACTCGAGTACTAAGATTGTCATTTGAGCAAATAGAATGCGAAAAAAAAAGAGAGAACGACAATAGTTTTGTTGCAAATGAGGCTACTAGAAAAAAAAACGTATGTGTTGTCGTTGTGGCCAGAGAAAACGACCAAACGAGATATGATAGAGAATGAATGTGTGTTCGCTTGTATTCTCACGAGACATTTGTTATCAGTGGATTTCTTTTCTATTTTCATTTTTATTTTTTGTCTTTTATTTCAAGGTCTATCTGTCGTTGTATGTTAAATAAATGAATGAATGAATCACGAACTTATACTGACTTTATTTTCAACGACAGAGTAACTTCTTCGAAATATTTTTCTTAACATTCAATTAGCTAATTAAATTTTATCTACGAAAAACAAAATAAATCCTATTTATTCTATACATATCATTATATATTTCAAATGGCAAAGAAGAAAAAAACCACCGCAGGTCATAATAATTTAACTGCTGAAGAAGCTGGTCGCGAATTTGGCCTTTCTGTTCGAGAATTAGAAGCATTAATGCAAACACGAGGTCATGAAGGTATTCAAGAACTTAATGAAACATATGGTGGTCTTAGTGGTCTTGCACAAAAGCTTAAAACAAATTTAATAACTGGTAAAATAAAATGAAAAGAAAAAACAACAAACAATAAACAAGAGTTTTGTTTTGTTTTGTTTAGGTTTATCTAATGATGAGAATGATTTATCAATGCGTGCAGCTGCATTTGGTCGTAATGAAATTCCACAACAACCGCCAAAAACATTTTTTCGTCTAATGTTTGATGCTCTTCAAGATGTTACACTTATTATACTTATCATTTGTGCTGTCATTTCATTTGCTTTATCATTTTATCATCCAGGTGAAGAAACATTTGAAGCTGCACAAAGACCAAGTACAATATTGTTTTTTTATTTTGTTTTTAAATTTATAAGAAAAATTATTTCTTGTGTATTTATTTTTTGTTTTTCAGAAGAAGCAAATGTTGAATGGATTGAAGGTGCAGCAATTATTATTGCTGTAATTGTTGTTGTTCTAGTAACAGCATTTAATGATTGGACAAAAGAACGACAATTTCGTGGTTTACGTTCGAAAATTGATCTCGATCAAAAATTTAATGTTATTAGAGAAAATACCGTACGACAAATTCCAACAAAAGATATTGTTGTTGGTGATATATGTCAAATTAAATATGGAGATGCATTACCAGTTGATGGTGTTGTTGTACAATCAAATGATCTTAAAATTGATGAGTCATCATTAACTGGAGAATCAGATTTAGTTAAAAAACATGAATCAAGAGATCCATTTCTTCTTTCCGGTGAGAGAAAAAAAATAACAACAAAAGAAATCAAGATTAAACTATTAATTAATTGAATTTGTTTTATCTTGTATTTTTTTAAGGTACAAATATTATGGAAGGTAGTGGTAAAATGTTAGTATTGGCTGTCGGTGAACATAGTCAAACTGGAATGTCATTTAAATTATTAGGCACAGCCAAAGAAGATGGTAGTGCTAATAAAAAATCAGATGCTAAAAAAAAACAAAGTATGATATAGGTTTTTATGTTATCCTTGAAATGTTCCCTCAACTTTTCCTAATACATATTCAGATGCTACTGCCGATGCAGAGGTTAAAGAACGTCTAGTAAATACAGAATCGAAAGCAGGTATTTTTCTTTTATATTAATGTCGTTAATTCTATATTAATATTGACTTAATAATTGCTATTAAAATACTAATTAAAAAAATGCTTCGTGCTTTTCTTTTTGTTTTTTGTTTTATTATTTAAAGAGAAAAAAAAACAATTCGTTCTTTTTTTTTTTATAAATTAGATGCAACTGTTAATAATCATGATACAACTGAATTACAAGAAGTTGTACCTGCTGATGCTAAACAAACAGGTAGTGATGATGAACCCGAGCGTCATAAAGCTGCAGAACGATCAATTTTACAAGCTAAATTAACAAGATTAGCTATTCAAATTGGATATGCAGGTAACATGATGTTTTTTTTCATTAAAATAGATTTTAATAATGGTATATCTGTTTTTTATTTTATTTAATTCTTTTAGGAATGACAATTGCTATTTTAACTGTACTTGTTCTATTGATTCGATTTTCTATTGAAGAATTTGTTCAACGGTAAAAAAAAAACAAAAACTTCATTAACTTACTCTTATAATTTCTTTAATTAATCTCTAGACGTGAACGATGGAGTAATAAATATTGGAGTCGATTTGTACGATATTTAATTACAGGTATAACAGTATTAGTCGTTGCTGTACCTGAAGGTTTACCATTGGCTGTAACAATATCATTAGCTTATGCTGTTAAAGTTAGTTAATTACTTTCTTTCTTTCTTTAATTATAATCTTATAATTTTTTTTTATTAGAAAATGATGATTGATAATAATTTAGTTCGTCATTTGGATGCATGCGAAACTATGGGTAATGCAACAGCAATATGTTCAGATAAAACAGGAACATTAACAACAAATCGTATGACTGTTGTACAAGTATATATTGGAGAAAAACATTGGAAAAATGTTGAAAATCCTATTAAAGCTAAAGAAATTGTTATACCAGCTAGAACAAAAGAAATTATATTTGAAGGTATATCTATTAATAGTAGTTATTCATCAAAATTATTAGTAAGTTTTACATAATATCTATAACGAAAAAGAAAATTTTTCTTCTTTTTTTTCAAGCCTCCAGCAGAAAAAGAAATTTTTCCAAAACAAATTGGAAATAAAACTGAATGTGCTTTATTAGGTTTTGTTGAAATACTTGAAGGAAGTTATGATGAAATACGTACACATTATCCTGTAGAAAAATATGTTCATGTTTATACATTTAATTCTGTAAGAAAAAATATGTCAACTGTTGTACGTCGACCTGATTCAACTATACGTATGTATACAAAAGGTGCATCGGAAATTGTTTTAAAAAAATGTAAAACAATATTAAATCGTAATGGTGATATTGTACCATTTTCAACTGTTGATTATGATCGTCTTGTACAAACAGTTATTGAACCAATGGCATGTGATGGTTTACGTACAATATGTATTGCATATAGAGATTTTCAATCAATTAATTTACCCGATTGGGATGATGAAACTAATATTGTTGATCAATTAACATGTATATGTATATGTGGTATTGAAGATCCTGTACGACCTGAAGTACCAGATGCTATAGCTAAATGTCGTAATGCTGGTATAACAGTACGTATGGTTACAGGTGATAATGTGAATACAGCTCGATCAATAGCACTTAAATGTGGTATTATATCACCAAATGATAGTTTTTTAGTACTTGAAGGAAAAGAATTTAATCGACGTATAAGATCAAAACCAGATGGAGAAGTATAATTGAAATTCATAAAAAAAAATTTTTTTATTTTATTTTTTTTATTATTATATAGGTCGAACAAATTTTATTTGATAAAGTTTGGCCACAATTACGTGTATTAGCTCGTTCATCACCATTAGATAAATATGTATTAGTTCGAGGTATTATTGCATCAAAAATAAGTCCAACACGTGAAGTTGTTGCTGTTACTGGTGATGGAACAAATGATGGACCTGCTTTGAAAAAAGCTGATGTCGGTTTTGCTATGGTTAGTAATTTATTTTTCATTTAAATTGAATTCTTAACAAAGATCTAAAATCCATCGACAAAAGTATTCCAACTAGTTAATTACTTTTAAGTTAAGACTATATACATCAGATAGTTCCTAATGAACTATGAAAACAAATAAAAAAGATTTGAAATTTTCATAATAAATTATTGTCATAAAGACTTATCTCTATGCAAAATTTCTAATCAAAATAGGAAAATCATTTTTTTTGCTTAGTATTCCTAAGGGGAGACAGACTACGACATTGTATTAAAAAATATCGTAACAATGCAATATCTCGATAGTAATAAGCTAAGAGCTCGAACTCGTTTTTTTTTTGTTTTGTTAAGGACATTCTCATAGCTTATTATAGTCTACATGATGCACTATAGTCTCAACTCAAAAGCGATTAATCAGTTGAAAGACTTTTCTCATGAGATATAATCTCAATCTAGATTTGAATATATACATGCAATTTAAAAGTAAACTATTCTAAAATTTGAATTAATTTAATTATATTCAAATCTATATAATGAATCAAATAAATTTTATTAATTTTCAAAACTTTATTTAATAGGGTATACAAGGTACTGATGTAGCAAAAGAAGCATCCGATATTATTCTTGTTGATGATAATTTTAATTCAATTGTCAAAGCTGTTATGTGGGGTCGTAATGTATATGATTCAATAGCAAAATTTCTTCAATTTCAATTAACTGTTAATGTTGTTGCTGTATTTTGTGCTTTTATTGGAGCATGTATTGTTAAAGAATCTCCATTACGTGCTGTACAAATGTTATGGGTTAATTTAATTATGGATACATTGGCATCATTAGCACTTGCTACAGAAGTACCAACTGAAGAATTATTAACACGTAAACCATATGGACGAACACGACCATTAATATCACGAACAATGATGAAAAACATTCTTGGTCATGCTATTTATCAATTAGCTGTTATGCTTTTTATTTTATTTGCTGGTAAGTAAAAAAAGCAAAATATATTGATTATATTTATTTATTTTTAAAAAAATTTTTAAGGACCTAAAGTATTTGATATGGATGATGGTCGTCCAGTTGATAATGTATTTAGACCATCTGAACATTTTACAATGATATTTAATGTATTTGTTTTAATGACGTTATTTAATGAAATTAATTGTCGAAAAATTCATGGTGAAAAAAATGTTTTTCGTGGAATATTTACAAATCCAATTTTTTATGGTATATGGATTGTAACATTTGTTGTACAAATTCTTCTTGTTCAATATGGTTCATTTGCATTTTCTTGTGTTGCATTATCATTTGAACAATGGATGTGGTGTCTTCTTTTTGGTGTTACAGTTCTTCTATGGAATCAAGTAGATTAAAAAAACAAAAGATTTTTTTTTTTTTTTTTTTTTTTTTTATTTAAAATTTTTGTTATTTTAGGTAGTTAATTTGATCCCGGGGACACGTCATATGCCAAAATGGGGTGCAGGTGAAGTTTATGAATCAACATCACCGATGGATATAGGTCCAGAAGGACAATCAAGAGGAGGAGCAAGTTTAACAAAAGGACAAATACTTTGGTTACGAGGAATAACACGTCTTCAAACACAGGTATGTAAAAATAAAATTAAAAAAAACCAGAAGAATATTTATAGATTCCATTATCTTCTTCTTTTTCTTCTTCTTGTAATAAAATTTACATATACAAAAAAAAAATCAATAATATCGCTGGTGTTTGTTCTGTTTTATGCAATTAACCATAATTCTCTTGAGCAATAATCTCAATATATAATTATATTATTAAAACTTGCTTAATCTCTCTTTAATTTTTATCATCTAAATAACACTGCAAAAAAAAACTAAAAATTTGACTTCGCTTAATTTTTTAGTGCATGCGTGCATTTAAAAATAACTATGCTATATGCCTATTAATGACTTGTATTCAATCTAGAAATTGATGAATATCAAATTGATATATTCTTTTTCAGTCTAGAATGAAAAGATATTATTGAAAAAGAAAAAGATTATTTGTATATTTTCTTTTTAGAAATAATCATTCATTAGAGTGAATATAGAATAGGTATCTATCGATATGTTATTGATGAGAAAATTTTATATGTGATTTATCGATCAATTATTAAAAATAGAAATCTTTTCTCGAGTGACGAAAAGAAATAAACAAAAAAAAAAGAAATTAATTTGATCAAAATATTATTAATTTTATGTTTTGTTTTTTTATTTAATTAATTTTCTTTTCTTTTCTTTTCTTTTTCTATTATTATTATTTCTCTATAATCCCTATGACAGGTACAAGTCGTTAAAACTTTCCAAGAACATGTTGCCAAATCGCCGTCTTCCCAATGGTAACTACTATCATCTATATGAAAGCGCATGTGCGCTTAACGTCTCTTGATTTATCCATCCTAAAATACCATAACATCTACACCATATTGCATCCATTTCTCTTGAGGTTTGACCCATTTGTTCGATATATGTATATGTCTCCTTTTTTTGTGTTTCCCTATTCGTTTTAATCACATTGATTGTCATGTATCTGTGTTTTGTGTCTTGCCTTAGTTTAGTATTTTTAATATTCTAAGCAAAAAAATGGACAAATCTGAAAAAGTAAAAAAGGAGAAAAAAAAGAAACTATCCTTTTGTTTTACTAATAAATATAGAATAGACTTATACTTTTATTATTGTCTTGCTGCTATTAGTCTTGGCTTTTTCTTTTTCTAACAGCTTTGAATGTTGTATGTGCATGAAGATTAATCAATTATTTCTTTTGTCTTTTTCATCTTTCCCTATTATTATCTTTTTCCCTGTTTAAGTTGTTTATTTAATTATTCCTTATGTATCTTTTTGTGATTTATTTTGATAAAAATTGATCAGTTTTTTCTTTTATTTATTTTTTATTCACATCATTCTAGCTTCGTGTGATAGAAGCATTTGAAGATTCAATCGATCGACACCCACCAGAATTTGCAACATTAGATAGGCTACGAGCCAATACTGTACCTAAATTATCATCGTATTATTACGATACTCAACGTCCTTATCCTCTTCATACTGTAATTACCACTGATAATCAATCATTACCAGAAAAAGTTATTCAAGAAACTGAAGTTTAAAAATAACGATACAGCAAAAAATAAAGACACTAACAACCACTTAAAAACAAAACATTTACATTGGTGGGCTCGTATCTCTTATGCTTCCAGTGTCTATTTTTTTTCCTCTATTACTATCTTTAAGTCGATGTATCCTCCTATCTTCTTTGTTGCTCTCTTTTCTTACATATTTGCGCGCATTTAGAGTGAGTATGTGTATTTCTCGTTTCTTCTTCTTTTTTTTGCAAACGTGTGATAATGTATTTTCTTTTTTTTTTAAGTTCTAAATTACAGCAGAATTTCTTTTTTTCTCTTTTTTTCTTTATATTTTTCTCTATCTCCACTCTCTCTGCAAAATCAGTCAGTCACAGTCGAGCGGTGCTACACGACAGATGGGTGGCAATGTCAAATGCAAAAAGAAGACATAAAACACAAAAAACAAAAGAATATATATATATATGTATATATATGATAATTATACTTCGATATCTTAAGTCGAGGGAAGAGATTAAAATACACCGAGTGATGATGACTGTTCACTGCCTTCTTTAAATATGACCTCTGTCCCTAGACTAGATAGATTTCAATTTTATTCTTCTTTTTGTTTTTCTTCTTTCGTTTTTTTTTTTTTGTCTCTGTGTTTTTGTTTTTTTTCCTTTGTGATGAAGATGATGATGATCATAATCATATCTGTAGTCGAATAATATGAATATGAAAATAATGAAAAAAAATAATAAAATCTTTTTCTGATTTATTCCATATCAATAAAAGACATAAACAAGTTGGAGGATGATATATATATATATAAATATATTTATACAATTCATTTCCTTCTTGGTCTTTGTTCAACTAATGAAAAATGCTTTATTGGCTTAAATGAACAAAACTCATTATTTCATTCATATTTTTTCACAGATAATCTTTTGGATTTTTATTTATACTGTCTCTCTCTCTCTCTCTCTCTCTATCTTTTTGTTTTTATCTTAATAGATTGCCGTTGTGGATGCTTTTTATCAACCACCATTATCTAATCAACCATTATTATCCATGACATCGAAAGCACCCACATCGAATACTTTACATGATACTGAAACAGAATTACAGTAATTCATATAATGATTTATTAAATTTAAGTTGTATTTGTGTGCTGTTGATTTTTCATTTCTTTTGAATGTGATAAAAAAAAAGAAATTTCTTGTTTTTTTCGTTTTTTGCTTAACATACTCACTATATCAATGTCCTGTCAAGCTAATGGAATAAAAATAGTAGATGTCTTAGTTCGAATGCTTAAAAAATATTGACTTATGTATTGATGATTAACGGAACAATTTGTTGAATGGTGATAGAAAAATATTCTTTTGTCTTGCACAGACTTTAACCTTATGTCTTATGTCTTATGAAAACAATGCAGTCTAGAAAAACAAAAATAAAACCCGGATGACATTAGAGGGAATCATTAATCTTGGTTTTATTTTTCTTTGACAGAGAGTTGATTACTATTTTCCTCTCTAATTCAAGCAAAATTAGAATTTGTTTATTGTTTAGTGTTGAAATCAAAATTTGATATATTATAAATTATATTACTGTCATCATTATTATTAGGAAAAAACAATTCATTCTCTTAGAAAATAATAGTTATTTTTCAATGAGATGTATATCATTCGGCATAATAACCTAAGTCAATGAAGGTCTATTTACTTGAAAAAAGAGACTTGAATATTTTTGATTGTCTTAACTAATAATTCTAATAATTAAAAGTAAATCTAGTCAATCAACTAAAGTTTTCTATCAGCAATACTAAGACAAAATGATCATATTTTTTATTTTTCAATTTGATAATTTTTATAATTTTCAATCTCGAATTCTCATTGAATATTAAAGTAATTTCTGTTGTTTGCTCATTTCCATATGAAAAAAAAATATATTTGACTTTTTAATTTTATCGTAACACGAATGAATAAAATCTTTCGTTTATTTTGCTTATCGTTTATTCATACAGAAAAAAGATACGACTGATTTCATATCTGTGTCATATTATAACAGACAAGAAGTTATTCATTAAAACCATCCAAGTCAAGGGGGAGAGGAAGGATCAAGGATTTCTAGACGTCCAGATAATTACTATGAATATTTTCCTTCTTTTTTACAAAATTTTTCGCAGAATTTTGAAGAGCAATCTTACATAGAAGATGAACTGAATCAATGAGTTGAATATGAATATGATGTTGAAATAATTGAAAATTCTATAATATGAACATTATTAGATTTTCGAGTGTCATTGATATTGAACTTCAGTTTTTGTTTGTACTATTTTCTATTCATTAAACTACAATGTATTTAAAAAACAAAAACTTTGCAATAGCTTAGATCTTTGTTTGTTGTTTATTAAACGTGTGTTTGATCTTTGGGTGTGAATGAGGGTGAAGAAACTGGACAGGCGAAGTGAAGCACTGTAGATATTTTCGTATGGCAAACGGACATGTGACTGTCTTGTTCGGAAAGGAATTTCTTTCCTCAGAAATGATTGCATATGATGCAGAAAAACATTTTTTAAGAACAAGAGATTTGGAGGAAAAAAGTGTTCCGACAAAAAATACCTGAGGAGGATCCCTGCACGCATTTCTTTCTTCAAAATTATTTTGTGTTATATATCATTCGACGTAGTTTAATACACTGATTCCAAATATATCATTTGTGTCGATTAAATATTTTTTCAAAGTCAGACAAACTGAAAAGTCTAGGTATATTGGAAACCCATTGTGTTGTCCACGAATGTTTGCACTAACAGGGATTAGAGACAGTAGATAGAAGAATATTCTGGCAAAGTTTGAAGGTTGGATGCAGGTGAGTTTTTCATTTTATGGAACTAATCATTCGGACGACACAGATCTTAGTTTGGGGACTGAGAAAATGTAATTGATTTGTCTGTCGAACAGTTTAATTTTCTCGGTAAAATCACGATTCTCAGACAACTGGTTTTTCAGTTTCTTTTAGGTTTGTAACAAAGTTATTTATATCATTATATAGACTATATTTCGAAGTATATTTCCCTATATTTAAATCTTGAAAAAGTACGATTTCCATTCATAGTCAAATATCCGTCTAGATGCAATCTGTAAGAGGGACAAGGTCCATAAATGCAATTTGTGAGTGTGGGGTGTGGGTATTGTTTTAGTCTTCTTTCACACCCCCACCCACACCCTCTGTCTGATTCTGCTTCGACCTAATTCCCGTAATTCCATTCTGGAATTGCTTTCCATCCTCACCCTCATGGTGACCTGCCTTGTGGTGGATTAATTTGTAAATAAGTTAGCGATTCTGGGAATTACGTCGAAGCAGAATTGGACGGAATTCCTAGAAACTTCGGAATCGGACGGAACTCCCAATAATTCCTAGGAATCCCGGAATCTGAAGGAATTCCGAAATCGGACGGAATTCCAGAATTGGACGGAATTATTGGGAATTGTGATTAATTTAGGATGGATACAATTCCGGGAATTTCAGGAATTATGGGAATTCGATCGTTATCGAATAAGGCGAATTTGTTTCGTGATGTTCAAGTTCCAGGAATTGCATGGAACTGATTCCGGGGCGGAACTGATTTCTGCAATGTGCAACATCGCGAAATAGGATGACTGCTCATAAGATCCATAGTACAAACATCTCCAATAGTCTTCAGTGTACAACTGTTAAGTTAATCTGATATTCCATCCGTTGTATAGCACCCGACAAGAGTATCTCCCCATTGAATCTCAATCACAATATGAGCTGTAGATCTGAAAACTAGTGTACAAATAGTTCTCAACGAATGCTGATCAACGACACCACCTGCAGCCCGATTGCATGAAGTATAAGAAAGTTATAATGTATACATTCTGTCTTCATTGTGGACTTCAAAACCCAGGAACGGAAAGATTCTATGAGTCGAGACTAGTTTCATTTTGTAGCTCTACACTTTGGCTATCTGTGATAAAAGTTTCATTAAAATTCAATGAGTTGTTGTGAAACTAGAACCATTTTACTGTAAGGATCGATATCTGACAAAACCGACCTATCCTATTGTGTACTTCATAAATCAGTGAAAGTTTGGCAGATCGACTTCAAACTTACAGAATAGATTATCCCACAGATCTTTATTGTTCTCTGAAATTTCCAGCCTTATATCACTTACTAGATAGAAATGGCACTATGCTGAAGTTTTAGATGTTGTTATAGGTCTAGCTACTCGAACACTCAAGCAATTGGCTTCATCTTTTGTGTACATAACTAACATGTAAAGAGGTATAGTTCTACCAAACAAAGGTTACAAAAATCACTAAGTATCATGAAAAACAAGATATAAAATTTTAAAGTCAATTTTTTCCTCATTCTGACGACCTTTTATTGTTTTGTTTAACAGTATCAAAAAAAAAACGTTATACAAAAGAATTAAAAGGAATTTGTCTATCTAGTTCAAGTCTGTCAAAGATCTTCTGATAGTTTTCATCATGATGATGAATCAGAGTAACCGTAGGAGTAAGAACATGAGTAAAAATTGGTATATAATTGTGAAAAGAATAGGAATCCTTATTCTCATTCTCTATCTCCCTCAGCTTGGTCAGAATGAGGAAAAAATTGACTTTAAAATTTTATATCTTGTTTTTCATGATACTTAGTGATTTTTGTAACCTTTGTTTGGTAGAACTATACCTCTTTACATGTTAGTTATGTACACAAAAGATGAAGCCAATTGCTTGAGTGTTCGAGTAGCTAGACCTATAACAACATCTAAAACTTCAGCATAGTGCCATTTCTATCTAGTAAGTGATATAAGGCTGGAAATTTCAGAGAACAATAAAGATCTGTGGGATAATCTATTCTGTAAGTTTGAAGTCGATCTGCCAAACTTTCACTGATTTATGAAGTACACAATAGGATAGGTCGGTTTTGTCAGATATCGATCCTTACAGTAAAATGGTTCTAGTTTCACAACAACTCATTGAATTTTAATGAAACTTTTATCACAGATAGCCAAAGTGTAGAGCTACAAAATGAAACTAGTCTCGACTCATAGAATCTTTCCGTTCCTGGGTTTTGAAGTCCACAATGAAGACAGAATGTATACATTATAACTTTCTTATACTTCATGCAATCGGGCTGCAGGTGGTGTCGTTGATCAGCATTCGTTGAGAACTATTTGTACACTAGTTTTCAGATCTACAGCTCATATTGTGATTGAGATTCAATGGGGAGATACTTTTGTCGGGTACTGTAATAATATAATCCAAATGACTTTCTTCTATAGGACAGTCATAGCAAGTAAGATGACTTGAAACTAAATGGATAATTTGAAATATTATAAATAAATACATAGAATAACATATTTTCGTTCAAGATTGATGAATGTATACAAGTGTGTGTGTCTACTACGTAATAGCAAGATTCAAGATATATAAGTATGCAAAGATAAGCAAATCTTGCATGTGAATGTTTGCATCTTATCATTCAAAAGAATTTATTTTTAAGTTGTTTTTATTGTCCTTGAAAATTTAAAATAATGGCATACTTTAATTCAAAAATCAATATTTCTATTAATATAAAAAACAGGTTTAATTATTCAATGAAAGAGTTTTAGAAAAAAACCAACGAATAGCAAAGTCATTTTGTTCATAGATAATATGGATGTTGATTTATTATCGGTATGAAAAAATTTGTCAAAATCAAAAGAGATATCGCTTTTTTGACGAATACTATCTCCAACAGCCGGTGTATTACAATCTTCGTGGCCACACATGATCAGCCAAAAGGTAGTTTTGGTTCGATCAATCATATTAAATAACATCTGATGTGACAATACACCTTTATCAGGATCATTAGTCGAACATGTTGCACATAATTCTGTTCTTGTTTGATTTATCATTCCGGATAAAATACATTGTTTACATGAACTTGTTGGTATTGTAGTATCACATTCTTCAAAAGTTACATTTGAACCACGATAACACCATTCACCTTGAAATGGTAGAACTGGATTGAGAAGATACGTAAGTTGATAAAGATTATCAGTTATCATTAATGAACTTAATAAACGTTTCAATTGACTTATACTATTGCATTGATCAGTATGACATTCGTATATAATACCTTTTTCCCATATTGGCATCAATCCTGTTTTATCATAACCAATATTGACTTGAAGTTTGTGGCCTTGTAATATTGACGGCTCATTATCATCAGCAATTAATGTTATTTTTGTAGTATCTGGATTCCGTTGCCAGAATATTTGAATCATACACTGTTTTGAATTAGCTTTTAATGAACAATTGCGAAGTTCAGTAGGAATATTGTCATCTGTAATAATATAATTAAAACCATTTTCGTCATATGGACAATAATAACAAGATATTTCAGAGGAAACAGTATATAAGACTTGAAATGTTAAGAATAAATAAAACAACATGTCGTGTGAATTTTACTGTTTAAATAATATCAGGTAAAAAAATTCAAGATATATAACAACAAAAAGATAAGTCATTCTTCAATGTAAATGTGTGAATCATTTCTATTCTTTACTGATAGTATCGATTCAAGCTAATTTTATCTACCCAGTGGCATGGAGACAATTGTTATATTTTAATATACGATAGTGAGGTTTATTAATTTCCTCTGAATAACATTCTCTCTTTGTTCGATTGAAAGAATAAAGTTAAACATTCATTATAATTGTTGTTTTCTTTGATGGTATGTTAAGATAAATGTCATTCTCATTCCTTCGTTTATTTTATCATGTATGGTTTGTTATGATGAACGAAAAAAAAAACATTCTTTACAGTTTAATTAATATTTGTAATCATTAGAATGATTCAGTAGCCATATAATGATGAACTTTGTGGATGCCTTGTCTAGAATGAGTTATAATTTTTTGTTCGACAATCAATCAATCAGCCATTGGAACATATTTGATCAACTTAACAGCGTATATATTTATTCTTCATGTACGAAATCGGTAAAAACAAGTTGCGCCTGTTGTGTTTGACATGGATTTACTCATAAACGTTAATGAAATACAATCGTATATAGTTCGATTTTCATTAAGTACACAACAACTATCAAATGGTTCACTTGGTTTAAAAAAGATTATCAAGTTCACTAAATTAATAAGTCAATATTAGACACTTGAACTTGTTTGCAGTGTTACCCTTATTAATGCAACACTAAGACAAAAAAAGGTGTATACTAGACTTTTCTTAGCCATTTACTACATGAGAAAATTGTCAAACAATAATAATATTTCGTTTTCTTCAATTAGACGGTTTTTAATTAATCGTTATTAATTATTAAAAAACCCAATTAACTCATTCTTGGTTTGTATTGGATGCAATATATCAGTGTTTCTTTTTTAAAGTTATAACAGGGTGCTGGGCATCATATGTAGTTCATTTACTTGGATGGCAGCTTTTGGCTTAGGATATGCGATTTGTATGACAACTGGGATAACAATAGCTACAGTACATAATGGTGTATATTGTTTTTTAATTTGATGAACATTTTTCTCCAATTCTAAATAACGTGTATTACATTCTTCTCGAGTTTGTTGACATTTTCCACTTTGTCTTTTCAATATAGGGATTTGGAGAGCAACATTTCATTGCAGAATTTGAGCACATTCAACAATTTTATGTTCAATATTAACAGAGCAAAAAAACAAGATTTTTTTGCGACAAAGTAAATCAGGATTAACTGAATTGTTTGTTGGCGGACGTGGGTATGAGTTAAGAGAAGAGCTACGTCAACATCCACACTCACACCCACACTCAAACATTCCAGGAGAAGAAAACGACGCATAGCACATGTTGTCTTGAAAACAACACAACAGAAAACAAAACACGACTTGTTACCAACACAATAAAGTATTCTCGATGGAAATAATGCCACAGACAGAACATACTTCGTATCCAACTGATCAATTCAAATGAGAAAGGACGAAACTATAACCGTAGCATATTCTTTAACATAATACTCACCCTGTTGTGTTCAAGAAATCTCTGTTTTGCTTTAGTGTATTAAACGTGGGAGAATTACACTGAAATCTTAGCACCCATGCATTTCGCCCCGTTCACTTCGTCCCACAATCAATTCGTCCTATCCATTTCGTCCCTTGACTTTTCGTCCTAAACACATTTTGTCCCATTACAGTTTGTCCTTTTACAATTTGTCCTGTTGGACAAGTCATTTGTGACAACTCTACTTAAAATACAATGCTATATGAGAGGTGTTACATATCCAGAAAATCGGCAATGCGAGAGAAGTGCAGGATATGCATCTTCAACAGGAGTTATGCCATCTTCTGTAGAGATTATGTATCTCTAAGTAGATCTCTCAACTGTTGGTGTGGGCAAAAAAAACACACAGGATAGATGTCTCGATTGCTTATGAAGGTGAAAACATGGATACAACCAAAAGCACACTCTTCTCAAATCCCTATACACTTCTCTCATATGTCCCTACACTTCTCTTCTATCTTCTTACACTTCTTCTGGATCTTGCTATATTACACTTCTCTCGAACCTCCCAATACTTCTCTAACATCCCCAATTTTCTGGATGTGTAACACCTCTCATATGACACGGTATTTTAAGTAGAGTTGTCACAAATGACTTGTCCAACGGGATAAACTGTAATGGGACAAAATGAGTTTGGGACGAAATGAATGGGACAAAGTGTATGGAACGAAAAGTAATGGGACGTAATGAGTGTTCACCGAAATCTTTTCAATTCAATATATAATGCAGTGCTAAAGCTACTTGAAGATCGGCTCTTGAAAAAGGCCGAAACTATAGTCGTAGTATATTCTTTACCATTATATTCATCAATCCAGCCCCATCCTCAGCCTCGGCTTCAAGATTGTATAGATCAATTGGATGGAGATATCCTGTCTGTGATCTTCGGATCATTAGAATAGAATCTTTATACAATTAAACCATCTGATGAGACCTTTGAGCAAGGTTGAAATCGTGATAACGATGTGCTTTTTGACTCACTCTCACTCACTCTCCCGATATTCGTATACTCACTCCATTTAAATCCTGATCCCATCCTTCAGGTCGTTGCGAGTTCAGCGTCATCAACTTTCATACATTAAACGCATCTATAGTAAATAAATGGTAATATTTTACGAAGGTAGATCGATAACATTTTATTTATTAGGTACTTCTATGTTATCTATGTAATATGTTTCTTATCATTACATTGTCAACAACAGAAGGCATTCATTTTTTATTTCGTTTGTGCCGCGTAAACGTTATTTTATTATTATTGCTTCGTTGAAACGATGATGTTTATGAAAATAGATTTTCTTCTTGTCTTGATTATTGTTACTGATATTACTGTTGGTTATCATCAACAATGTACACAGATGCGACGTTGTTTTCTTCCATTCGAAAATGTAACAGCATATCCTCCTGAATGTGAAGAAAAATTAACATATGATGATGAATGCCGCACTACTTGGAGCATAGATTTCATTAAAAGGCAAATTGTGCTTGAATATGGTCATATTGAACTTCATGGCCCCCCAACATATGCTACTTATCTACAACTATTTGTTGACCTTAATAAGAATACGAAATCAATCAGTGCATACTACCGTTGTACAACATCAGATGATTGTGCTCGTAAATTTTATGAATCATATATTCGATTATACATGAGAAAAGAGTCAATATTCAATGAAATACAAGAACTATTATTTGATAAAAATTCCAATTCAACGTCTGCTCAAACAATTGAATGTTACTCGTATACAGCAAATAGAATACTTTCGTGTGAATCTGGTGGATGTGTGGGTGGGTTACTAATTTCCAAGAATCTATCTTATTATGAAGTAAGCCAAAGATGTGCTGATCCCCTCTTCGATAATGACTGGCAACCTGCATCGTTTCAAATGCGTATTATGGAAAGGTACCCACGTGAATACTTTGACCAATATATTGTTCAATTTATTTGTAATAAACGATTGTGTAATGATAAAGAAGAAATAAATAAATTTAAAGAATTATCAAATCAATATCATCAATGGCCACTTTACAATATGATATCGACACAGCCAACTAATTCGAGCGAAAAAAGATCAATAATAAATTATTTTCTTATCGTTTCCAGTATTTATCTATGGTTAATATAGCCGAATTAAGCAACATCTAAATATTTCAAAAAATTTTTAAAAAATTTTCTTATTATTAACTAATAACATTCCTAACTAATAACTTAGCAATACCGCAAACAATTATATAATATAATATTGTTTCTAATTAGTGAAAATTATTTTAAATATTTTTAAAATCAATTATTTTCTATCAATAATTTTAACTATAAACTTATTCTATTTTGATTTTTGATTTTGTTCAGTCATATTCTAAATTTGGCCAAACAAAAATAGAATTACAAATTTGACCAGATAAATCCTGCTTTTGTCTGATCAAAATTAGAATGCATATGTGTGTATATGTCGATTCTAATTTTGACAGATCCAATTTAGCAACTTTTTCCAATTGTGTCTGGACCAATTTGAAAATTGATCAGACTTTAATTTTGTCTATAACATACATTTATTATTTATTACATATTTGAGGATGAGGGTGTGGGCATGGGTGTGGATTGAAATATTCTATTCTCTCACATCCACCCACACACCCACACACAGCTCTATCGATTGATAATAAATTCAAGGCAAACAGAGGTTGAAGTGGCTTATAAGTGGGTTATACCGTATTTTACTAATACTCCTAAAGAGAAGAGTAAAAGAAAAACAATGTATCCATCCAATTCATTAGATGAGATCTTTGACGCTTCGGAAGACGTAAATGATGATAATGTTCAGCAACAACTATTAGTCAAAACAGAAGTTTAACGATACTTGGATGCTGAAACAGTGATTAGCAATGATATGGACGCAGTGACATATTGGTATTTGAACAAAGTGTCGTATCCAACATTGACTGAAGTGGCTCAATGTGTTCTGTCTGTACCAGCAACAAATATCTCCGTGGAACGTATATTTTTCGATAGCGATAATACGATTACTAATCGGTGGATCAGATTAGAAACAGAAAAGTCAATAATCTTTTGTTTATTCATCATAATTTACGGACATTAAGAGACATTTTTCCACCGGTAGTCGAAGAATTCAGCAAACGGAAACAGTGTCGTTTCGACTGGATCAACACCATCGGCATCACCAACGCTCACGGAAAAACTCAAAACAACGATAAACAACGAATAAGACGACAGTGATATAGATCAACACGATGATGATGCAGAACATTCCTAAAATACGTCACTGAGCTTTTTTTTTGAATATATTTATGGATATCGATTAGAAAGAGAATATGTGTTAGCCAGCAAGAATTTCTAAGTTGGAACAGATATGACACAGAAGCTAACTACACTTCCAGATAACTT